GCCAGTGCCTGCATATGCCGGGCCAGCGACTCTCTGAAGCATGTCTTTTGACCAGGTCTGGTGTCGATGATGGCACATGCCAGTCGAACTTTGCGCCTTCATTTTTTGCCTGTGTCAACGACCGGGATAGTCGTGATGGTACGGGGAGCAACGTGCCCGGAAGTGTCGGAGGCAGACGAGATTTGGACCTGCGAAAATATAGCAATGGGCTGATGTGCTTTGATAGATTCTCAGCCAGCATGGTACATCGGCACAAGACTCTGTCAGTGGCTCAAGCGCTCGGTCAGGCCCTTGGAAACGTGCCGCGATAGGACTCCTAAGACAACCTCATCAAAGCCACAACAGAACTTGAAGTTCAGCGAAGATGCAGGTGAGCTAGTGTCACCCCCACATGCTGATATAAAACGATCAAGCTGATGTCCTTTATACCCATTTGTCACACGGACTGGACAAGATTCTTTCACGATTCTCCAGCCGAGGATGGGCACGGCGGCACAATACTTTTTTCCAAAAGTAACGACGATTGAACGCATGATAGGACCCCTGCCACTGATGCGCCCGTCGGCGCGAAGGAATCGACCTTCACGGCGAACAGCAGCCGTTAGTTAAGCAAGAGGGGAGAGTTTTAGTGAAGCTTGACATGATCTAGGATTCTCTATACTCTACTGCTTCGCCATCTTCGCCTGCTAGGATCGCCGGACTGGTCAAAGGCTGGCCTCCAGTGCCGCACCGCCGAAGGAACGCCGCGCACGGCCGGCGACGAATCCTTTGGACTGAGGGCCCGTGAGGGCTCGTCACTGTAATGCCAGGCGTCAGGATGGTCCCCGAGTCCCGCGCCGATGCCTGGGAGCACCTCACCGCCGAGCACCGCACCCGGCGGAGCCGGGGCGGAAGCCTACAAGTAGTCTCACAGAACGATTCTTCGACGAGAGAAGAAGTCGGTGCACCGCTCCAGCCTGCGAGCTGGCTTCCTCCGCTTGCTCCGTCATGCTGCTGCCCAGGGAAGCAGCAATTGCCTAGCAGCTCCACATCAAGCTGTTAACTAGAACGTTCTGTGCCGCGAGCGGTGCCTCCAAATCGGCAAGTTGCGCCGCAGCAAACATCTCGCTTGGCGGCCTCGGGCGACAAACTTAAGAACTTGGCCAACCTCGTAAAATCCCGGGGAAGCCAGCATCATCTGTTACTCATGCCCAACAAAAGAGGAGCAGTAGTTGTCTCCGAGAACTGGCCTTCTCGACTCACTTCTTGCTCCTTCAGCCTTGCGATATGGTGCAAGCAATCCCAAAGCCTTCAACCTCCAAGGCATGGTCGTGAAGTTAATTTCGCAGCTTGAAGTCAAACACACACACACACACACACACACGCAGACCAACCAACAAGCGAACATAAAGAAAAACACACATGCACACAACAGCGCAACTGAAAAGCGAAGACACGAGTGCAACAGTCATGTTTGCACGAGGCATGAAAGTCGCCTCCTCTTCTTGGACCGACTTGCTTTGGTCAGCCTCCTGCAGGAGCGTGTGCTTGGCATGGCTAGCGACACAGAGGGTTGCTGAACGGGAGACACTCCTCCTCGTACACCCCGTGCGCGCTGCCCTCTTTCTGTCTGATCTTCACTCCCTCTCTGCCGTCTTTACGGCTGCCGAGTTTGGGTAGAGGTCTATTTGCTCGTGGGAATCCATTTGGAAGAGGGAAGTATCGCATTGACCACTCAAAGCATAAATAGGCTGCAATGCTGTTAGAGGCGTGCCAACTCGGCAGACTGGCCTTGCTACCATGGGGGAGGTGCCTCGTCAGAGTCAGACAGCCTCATCCTCTGGTGTCTGCGACCTCCTGCGCAAGTTCACGGGCTTGTCCTCCCGGCCCTGCCTGACCTCTCATGTGCTTCAGCCTCGGAATGGAGAGCCCAAGCGCCGCAGCGGCTGCGGCGGCTTTGGTGCTGCGCAGGGCAGATCACACGATGCAGCCTACAGGCCTAATTACGTCAGTAGACGATAATGCAGCAAAGCAGAAGCTGGAGCACCTTGTATGACGGCTTCGATTTGACTCCTCCCGGACTGAAAACAACAGATTGCCATTCGTTCAACGACAACAACATGACGATTAGAATCGTGTCCGGACCATCCTGACCCGAGTGCGCAAGCTGCGGGATGCCGGTTCGAACGGCCTGCAAGGAGAAAAGCTCATCTGTGGATAAATTACAGTACTTGCACGGCCAAGCTTCGGCTTGCACGATCCTTTTTCTGCGAACCATCTCCTCCGAGCTAGTCAAGCATAAGGGATCATGAGCACTGGCATGAGTAAATTTCGAAACAGTCGACTATGGCATCATGGAGGTCGTGTCATGCTGTTACCTGGAGATGTCTGTCTCACTGCTCGTGATCTCTCAGGGTTTGTTTGGCACAGCTAGGCTGGCCTTGTTGTGGCCTAGGTCTTTGCCGCTGCACTGCAGGCATGGACTTTAGACTCTAGACTTGCATGATATAAGAAGTACAAGTACTGAAAGCTCGCTTTCTTCCATCTCTGCAGGTAGAGCGGAAGAGTTGAAGCAGCACGTGGTGAAACTCGGATTGCAAATTCAGTTGAGCTGCTGATCATCCTCTACCTACGCTGCAACGGGTGGTAGCAAATGTCAAGCTTTGCCACCGTGAATTCCCTGTACATACTCGCGACTGTACACACACTCGCAGTGTGTCGCGAAGCGACGAGATCTTCTGCTATCGGAAACCACTGAATGTGCCAAGGAAACAGAGTGTGGCACCGTTTAACGATTAAATGTGCAGAAATACGTGGTGCAATCGGAGGCAACCGTCAAGCGATCTCAACACCTTTTCCACAAGCTTGTGTGCAGGCCGTTTCGCTTGCAGGCCCTGACTGGCATGACTGAAAGAAGCTGAGTGACGAGCTCGACTGGTGGAGCTCGCGCGTTGTGTCACAGGACTGATACCCAGGCCTGATGGGACTGAAGCACTGCCCTGCCGCTACACAACCAGTGATGCCATACCTCTGCAAGGACAAGACAGATCTCGGCCAACTGGCCAATGGACAGGTAGTGCCCTGCTGCAACCCACATGCTTCGAGGGCTTTTCGTCGACAGAACACTTCATTTTGCCACCGTATGGATGGCAGTGACCTATAGCGGCATGAACCTGTGTCACTCCACTTGCTTCGACCAAGGGTCTCACCTGACTTCTTGGAGGATTGCGCCCAGCTGGCGAATCGGCGAAACGAACTTGACCTGGCACCTGATGCACTGAGGATGCACTGTGGGGACCGGTCGTTTCCGTGGGGGGGCGTGGCCTCACCTCAAAATCCACATTGACAGCAAACGACAGCATCGGCCACTCGCATGGCTTACGCATCGAAGACATGCCAGTGGCAGATGCATAGCTCGTCCCGGCCTTGACCTCTTCTTCGGTTTCCTCTTGAGGAGTCCCCACAGAAGGGGTCGCTGAGCTATTCGCATTCCTTAGAGTGGAACCACTGGCCGACGCCTTTTCGGAACCGCTTCACTGCTCATTGCAGGCCCAGGCTCGGGGGTGCGTGGATCGTGGATGTTCGCATGTTCAGGGGATCCTCTCAATCAGGGGCTTACCCCTGTACCGACTCCGTCTCGTGAGCATTCACACTGCGGCCCTCTTCGAGGGGCGAATTCGGACACAAGACCCAACCTTTCCACTTCGTGTGAATCGCAACAATAGGCTCTGACACGCAATAAGGCCTGGTATCCCCGCCCACCCCTATGGTACCCCACCCCTGGTGCGGCTTGGGGTTGCCCGCGCTGCGCGGATTGGGGGTGCCGCACTCCCCCCCCCCCCCCCCCCCC